GGAAAAAAGTGATGATCTCTGCTTGAACACAGACATCTCCTCGGGTTCACAGGGTTTTGTTTAAGCATGGAGTCTGTTTTGAAGTTCAGCTTGTAAGCTGTAGAAGGATTCTGAACTAAGCTACTGCCTTGAGACTTCAACGTTTTTTGTTTAGGGACATCAAAATTTTTACTGAAGGGTCTCTAATATAATTCTTGAGGTAAGAGAACAAATGGCTTCATTGCTCCATGGTAAAACAACTGAACTCTCAGATCTCCAGCAAAATTTTCCATGAGTATTTATCAAGTTAGCTCTTACCAAAAAGAATAAATACACTCAGTGGTCTGAACTTGTGGATAAAATCAAGGGTCTCTCTGCTACACCTACCGGTGGCTATATTGTTAACAAATACATATATATATAAAAGATATACTGTATAACAAATAAAGAAGGTTACTACTGGCAGGAGGCAGGACCTTAGGAGACAGAAAGATAAATATATGCCTTCTAGCTCTACTACTGCAGCATTTCAGGTGGTCATAAAGCACAGTTGCTGTGCAGCCCCTGAACGCCTACAGCCACCCCACACCTCAGCACTGCACTACTCCACTCACAGCAATTTCTGTCCTTCCATTTGGCTGCACATTTGACCTGGCTAAACCCTACTCCAGCTGAGAGAGCTGCGTGTTGTGGCAGCGCCAGGTTGGTAGGCATTGTGAAATCAGGTGGGAGGCCTCCAGTGCTCATTTGTGTGTCAGTACCCAGAATGCCGCTTCTAGCTTCCAGCTACTTCATAGAAGTGCTGCTGGGACTGGAACCGTGGGAACGCTGCAGCGCTGGCGTGTGGGTGTGTTCACACGTGTGCAAGGAGAGCTCCTTCATTCCCTGATCACATCCAGCCTTACTGCAAGTACAGCTGTCTGGCACACAGGTAGGAACAGGAAAGCACTGACAAATGTCACTCGGTTCAGTAAGTAAAAAAAAAAGACAAAAAAAGGGCTCAAAAGAGACAGCTGAACCCACCCTCCTTCACTGCAAACAGTAACCCACAAAGCGTTCAGGCCTGCTTTTTGAACTCATTCAATCCTAGAGGAGGCATGCTGATGTTCAGAAAACACAGCAGTCTCACACAGCAGTGGAAAGACTGCATGAGACACACACCAAGGCTGTTATCTACACCAAGCAAGTGGTGCTCAACATGCACCAGCTGCTGAGCTCAAGAACAAGGCTCTGGCACTGAGGATGGATTTCTAGGACCCTGTTTTGCAACCCTGAGAGGTTATTCATGTTTGAAATTTCTAGAAACATCCCACAATGGTAGTTCTCCACACCAGTAATGGATTAAATGAGACAGGCAGGGGAACAGAACACTCAAGTAAAAGCCATGCTGGTGTACAGAGACTCTGAAAGACCAGAGAGAAGGCAAAGCAGAGAAAAGCCCTGCATGAGCATAAAAGGTGGAAAATCCAATGAAGGACACATAGGGAAATGGAAAAGTTATCATATGGCTCAAGGAAAGACCTAGCTTTGGGAAGTGGCAGGAAAAGTGAAGGAGTTTATAGAAGGTAAATCATTAATCCATGGATGAACAGTGAGGATACAGAAATCTAAATTTTAGAAGACGGGAAAGGAAGTGGCTGAGGCCTCTATGGTTCCTGCTGTAGTGAGGGCTCAGCTGTCACAACTCTCTCCAGTTTTTGGTTAAGACCTTTTGCTGACTTCACACAGATGTAGATGAAAGCTGCTTCTGCAAGCGGCAGGACCAAGCAACACGCATCTTGCCCACCCAACCAGGCTGACTGAGAGACAATGTATCTGCATCTATGCATACATCTCTGGCTACAGACAGATGTGCACAACGGGTACTTGATGCATGTAGACGATGTCAGGAATGCAGTTACCTGGTAAAGCTCTGCTTTGTAATGCTTCAAAACCACACCAAGGGGGAAAAAAAAATAGGGAAAAGAAACTAAATAATGAAGAGAGAGGGAAAAAGGCGGGTTTGCCACTGTGCTGAGTCTGCCCCGGGAGCTTGTGCCAACCCAGCTCCTCCATTTAAGTCAAACCCTTAAAAGGCAGAGCTGTGCTGGCACAGCTGTATATACCTCTTGCATATCCTCATGAAGACACAGAAAAAGGTCAAAAAATTCACTGCTGCTCAAACAGCCATTAAGCGGTCATATGTATCCCATGCTACCAACATACTGAGGGAGCCCCAGGGAAAACACATCACACAAAGCAGTGTATAAACATGCATAAATAAATAAACTGCAAAACTGATAAAAAAACCCACTCTTGAAAGTAGAGAGAGGACTAAGTATCTATCACAGCAGATTACCAACACCTCTGTATAAAACAGAACAAAGCAACGCAGAGATCGACATCAAAAAAGGACGACCACCACAAAGACACATATGCTTCACCCTTTCATCCACAGAGACAGACAGACACAGAGCCCAACAGACACACAAAACCCACAGGGACTGACAGGAATTCACACGAACACACAGTCATGGGACCATCCTTTCATTTCCTTACTAGGCAGCTAAACTTTACTCCAATGCTACTTGCCCCTGGCCACAGTCTACCAATCTTAGAGCCTGATTAAATCTCTCTGTAATTATCTGCACACACTGCTACAACACAAATGACCTTAGCATATGATATCCACTGGCTGAGCCCAATGGAAAAAAAGGCTTCAGAAAAAGGAACGATAAGCAGACAAAACTCTGCCAGCACTGCCGGGATCTCCTCAAGACTGCAACACATTATAGGAGAGCCATGAAGACGACGCTAAAGCCTTGAAACTTGAGCCTAGTCCTGCTCTGGGTGTATGACAAAGCATTCTTTTTTCCCTACCCCATCATCTGAGCACACACTCGCCACTGTTCTTCCCCATAAAATTCCTTGCCACCTCTCAAATGAACCTATGCAGGAGACTGTAACATCTTATCATGACAGATTTTTGGCACCATATTCTGTGCAATAGATAGCATAATCTTTGGTGTCCACTATTAAGGATCTTGAATTCCTTCTGCAAGAAGAGCTGTGCTGCATGCAGATTTTGGAGGGGGTGGCAGGGGGAAAAAGCTCTTGCCATGTTATGATCTAGGACCTATTAAAGGGTCACCAAAAAACTCAGGCAAGGCCAAGACTTCGCAGATTTTTCTTGTTCTCCACCTGCAACTTCACCTGGGATAAATCATCCAACTAAAGAAAATGCTTTAAAGTCTTGGAAGAAGATGAAAGTGCACCTCTACCAACATTGATTTTAATAAAATTCTGTAAATGGCCAAGCCAGGAACGCAGTACCTTTTCTTGAGCAAAAATATGGAGATTTCTTACTTTTGCTTACCAAAGAAGCTTGCCCTAGAAAATTCATTTCCCAACATGCAAAATGCCTCTGCTTTCAGAGCAGATTTCTCCTTGCACAGGCATTCATATACATCCATCCCACCATTACATCTTAGCACATGACTGACGGAGAATAGACAAGCCATTAAAAACACATCCACCTCCAACCACGGAGATAATGTGGCTCATTACAGCCTAGCTTTGTCACAGCGGTTCTGACACTTCAGCGGGAGGAAGAGGAGGGGTGAGGGCGAGGACTGAAACGGGGGCTGAGCACAAGACTAGGAGAGAAACTGGAACTTAAGAGGGAGCCTCTGCTCCTTCCCCACAAAATGGGTTGCCAGGCCTCTCAGGCTAGGAGGAATTACTGCATTGCCTGGGCAGGGTATCTTACAAACGCTGTGTTTGGACATTTTTGTTGTGTTTTTAACAAATAAAAGCTCTATTTAAGTCCCACTTATTAAGTCTAATTAAGGCAGTGTATCTGCCCCTTTAGGCAGGTGTTTGATAAGGTAATTAAGAGTTTTGTTGAACATTCTCAGTGGGCTTTAAATGTTACTTCTGTTTCAAGGTTTGTGTTATTGCCATCTGCTCCAGACACATAAAACCAAAGAAAAGTTCAGGTATCTCTAACAGACCAGCTAAAATCCAACCAATGAACCCACAGTGTAGAGCTCAGTAGGTGAGAGTTTCCTTTTAACCATATTCTGGGCGTTGGGGAAGCCAACTGCTCACCTCACAGGCTCTGCACCCTCACCAGCACCCTGGAGTCTGTCAGTGAGGCCTCAAGGCCCTGTGGACCCACCACTGCCCATGGGTAAGTCCCACTGCCAGCTCGAAGGCAGCCTCTCCCACACACACCGAGGATGCTGGGAGCTAAAGGCAGCTCAGACTGAAAGAAAAACAAGACACCTAGAAAGAATACTGTGCTTTAGCTGTCTGGCTTGGCGCACGAGGCACGGCAATACCTTAAGCTGCTGCTGCAGATGCCCCGAGACAGATTCTTTTGCTGAATGTATACATAATCCAATATACAAAAGCCTGTCTGGTAGGGAGACTCCACAGGGATACTATGAAAGCAGGGACTTGGCCATTCACGTTCCACACAGCACCAGTAACCTGTGCTACCGTCTGGATTTTTTTGTTAGCAGCCACACTGTTATTTCAATACAAGCATTTAGACACTCTATCCTTCACCTCCCCCCTTGGCAGCATACAGCTGATCATATAAAAAACATACATATTTGCTTCTGGAGCTATCACAAACCGATTTGTTTTTTTCTGGCCTCTTCCTTGTCTTGACCCCTAACTGAAGCTCTCAAGACCTGAAATCACATACGTCCTACCAACGTCTGGGGCAGGGCGATGGATTTCAAAGATCAGGTTCCATCTGTAGTAAGCTATGCAAACACACATGTATCATTTAAACAAACTCCAACTACCGAGTTCAGAATTCAAGCCGAGGAAAAAAGGTGCCACCTCAAACGCTGCTCGTCTCCATTAACACACACGTGGTGAGAATTAAGAACGCGATTAGATTACTAAATGACTCAAAGGAAAAGCAGCTGCTAACAAATTGGGTATATCGATGGCTGTTATCGACGTTGGAGACAATTCCTTTTCTCTTTCTTCCCCCCACCCCCTTTAAAATCAAAGGCATCACTTACCCTGGGGGCTTTCCTCTTGTATTTATTGTTATAGTCAAATTTTTCTTTCATTTCATCTAAGAGCTGTCCCAGTCTAGCTTTCTCCTCTTTCCCAGTGTAATCCTGGCTGAGGAGGATATAGGATCTCCAGTTTGCAGAGTCAAAGCCCCAGTGGCAAGTCCTGTTTTCCAGAGATTTGTGAGAGTGGACCACGAATTTGTGAGGTGGATACATAAGCCTGCAGTCCAAGCACTGGATGCAGGCTGCGCTGGGGTTACTGTAAAGCTCTGGCACCAAGAGTCCCTTACACTTCCCAAAGCACTCATGATACACCTTGAAGCTCTTCTCCGTAAACTCCAGCTCAATTGTGCTAGAGAACTCCTTCTTGCAGTGGGGAGGATAGGTGCCACCATAAAGCAAGGCGTTACAAAGCCTCTCAGCATCAGTTTTAGTGATGAGCCCGCAGGAAGGAGCAGAGAAGGGCAGGATGCCCATGACTTTGAGGATTTCCAGCTGGTCAGCAGTACATCTGGAGCAGTAAATGTGTAGCTCGTCACAGACCGAATTAATCTGCTGCAGGGAGAAGTCCCTGAGCACAGAGTTCAGGATCTGGGGCAAGCAAAGCCGCTTTTCTCCACCCACCACGAAGCAGGAGATGGTTTCCCCTTCCAGGATGGTCTCGCACCTCTCCGTAGATCTGTCCGAGGGCATGAAGAAGGGACCAGGCATCACCGGAGGAGGCTGTATAGGGGGTAGATGCAGTACAGGTTCCGCTGGATCTTTGCCATTGTCCTTCTTGTACATCTCCTGTGCCCATCGTGCTGAGAAAGCAGCAGGGCCACCCAGGGAGCTCATAGAGCTCAGATGAAACTGTTCCAAGGTCTTCTGCAGTCCTGGATGAGGCTGGAAGCTGCTTCTACTTACAGTCTCCATTTTTTAGTTTCTATTCCCAAAACAAACAACAAAAATCCCCAGTTATCTTCCACCCTGGTACAAATCCACTTAAGAGATTTTTTTTTTAAGAAAAAAAAATCGAACAAAATAAAACAACCCACCCTTGTTCTTTTCTCCTTCCCACTCAGGTTTAACAATCCACTAACGAATAGGAAATAAATCCTTTTGTATGCGTGTCTCTCTCTTCGTTTTTTCTTTCCTCTTGCTTCGTTACAACCTCAAATCATCCAAGTCTCCAAGCTGCCCCGATGGAGCACAGAGTCACGGCAAAAAGAGGTCTTCATCCGAGCACTCAGACCTCAGCCAGCCCTCCAGGCAAAGCAATCCCGCCTCCCACACCTACACACACACACACACACACACACTCACTCACACACTCACTCACACACACCACCCACAGCAACACAAAAAGTCCGTGCCACGCTCCGAGCTCCACGGGCTCAAATACGTTCTGGCGGCTGCTGCTGCTCTGCAGTGATCACCCTTCTGTCCATATCCACCGGCAGGAAGGCGAGGGGGAGGCGAGGAAAAGCACAGGGAGGCGGAAAGCTTCTCTGGAAGGGAACGACGCAGAAGGAAAGGAAAAGGCCCAAATCTCCGGCACTTTCAAAGCGGCGCGGGGGCTTCGGACGGGCGATAAGCAGGCTCCTTCCTCCGTGTGGCCCGTCAGCTCGGTCCGGGAGGATTCCTCGTCTCTCTGTTCGCCCTTTCTTCCCTTATCTCTCCCGGTTTTCTCGGCGTGCCGTGGGGAGCCGCGGTAACCGAGCGCACATCCTCCCAGCTCCTCTTTCCAGCGGAGACTGAGAGTGCCTGAGCGCTGAGCTAATGCAGGCTGGCTCAGCCTCCTCCTCCTCCGCCTGCTGCTGCCCGCTCTGTTTGTTGGTGTCTGCCTCAGTCATTGAATCCCGGCCAAGAATGTGACCAACTCCCCGGCCGGGCTCTTCCAGGAACAGCGCCCGCCTCCCCCCGCCGCCGGCACAGCCCGCGTCGGGTAAACTGCTGGGTTCACGGACCGCCGCGCCGCCGAGGCCGGGCGGGAGGGCGATGGCTTCTCCTTTCCTCCGGGATAGCGGGGCAAAAAGCGAACGATCAAAAGCGCGTCGGCCGCCAGAGCCGGTTACAGCGCCTGGGCTCAACCTGGAGCCCACGACCCTTTCTCTGGGCGGAAATCGCAGGCGTGCAGGCTCGGGTTATAGCCGAGGGCAGCGCGCTACGCCTTAACACGTGCAAAGAGCGCAGGAGCACCACCGCCGCCGAGGAGCGCGGGTGAGCAGCGCCAAACCCTGCCGGCAGAGGTTCCGCCGTAGGCCGGGCCGGTGGAGCCCACCTCTGTCGCAAAACGGGCGAGCCGCTGCCGCCACTGCGGCGCACAGAAGGGCCGCGGCCACCACCACCCCCGCCGCAGAGCGGGGGCGAGCGCCCCCTACCGAGCGACGAGACACCCTGCTCCCCTGCCCCCTACCGGCCCGGCGCGGCCCCGGCGGCGCGCTGACATCACTAATGTGACGTCATTGGTGCGGTCGGGAGCGAGGAGTTTCCTAGTCGCGAGTGACGTCAAGTATGGAGCAAAAACTGCGTCTTCTCCCGTTTTGCATGGGCTGCGCAATGGGAATGGTGGGAAATGCATCCAGCTGCGCCAAATGCAGGTGCTGGGAACAAGCCGGAAGGTTCGCCTGTTGTCTTCACACTCACTCAACTCTGTGCACCAAAACAAGGCTGGAGAGCGCTTTGACACCCAGGCAACTGCTAGAAAACTCCCAGTACCACAGTACCTTTAACCTTGAGTGATGCACAAACCAACCATCCTGATAGCCTCCTCCAGAAGAGTTCACCATTGCAGCCTAAAACCAGGTAGATGAAGCCACAAGAGAAAGAACAAGCAGACAAATATCCAAACACCTTAGAAGAGCAAGCAGAAAAACAGAACAGCACCATGTACTCAGGCTCCACATAACACAGCAGGGAATGCCACAAACTCTCCTGGTTTGTTTGTGGGGTTTTATCCTGAAATCCCACTCAGCATAAAGGAAAGAGGTGTCACGGGACTGCAAAAGAGCTTTGATGGTGCAACTACAACAGCATTTCTCCAGAGAGGAGCTTGCTCTCACATACCCAAATCGGACATCCAGCCTCACAGTGTTAAAGGGGAGGCTGGAGAAGGATAGAATCAAATGGTGCAGGCCATTGGCTGTGTCCTCAGTGCCGGGAGATGACATACAGAGAATCCTTCCCAACCCAAAAGCCACTGGTGCCAAGAAGTCTCTGTTCATACAGTGCACCACACACAAATCTGAAGATCCACAAGTGGAATTTTAGATATTACCACAATACCAAGGTCTGACGATGTGTTGAACAGTGCTGGACATGCAGCCGTTGCTGACCCCTGACACTAAAGAGGTGAGCACATTAAGAGGAAGCCAGTCTAGGAATTCTTCACTAACAGGGTAGTTAAAAGGTTTTAGTTAAGAACAATTTTCAGTAATCCTCTAGAAATTATATATGGCCCCTTTTGACCATATGAAGGACATATACAATGTTCCATCCATTCCATCATTCTCAAATCAAAGGGTGCACTTTGTTAGAAATAAAACCCTTCCCAGCATTCAGCCTTCTCTTGGAAAAGTGGTGTTGGTGACACAGGAGAAATATCAGATCCACAGGGAAGCCCATCAGGGATACAGCAATCAAACTGACAAGCACCAAAGGCCCTCTAATACAGCAGAGAACAGCAGCAGCATAATTCTCTAGATGGATTTAGTCCAGTTCCAGTCATTCTTTAAACTCACTAAAATAGACATGGCCAGATACACTCAAACATCATGTGTGGCATCCCTGATTCTTTTACAGAGCACAGTTAATGCTTGCAGGAGGTTTGGATGGCAATAGGGAAGGTCCTTAGGTTTGGAAGCTGGGTTACTTTGCTGGGTTACTCCCTCTCCTTTACCCCCCAGCAAGCCAGGGCAGCAGGAACTGCAGTTCACTTTATAAGAGGTGCCATGTTCCCTCCCAGATGAGTCTTTTACGCAAGTAAATCACTGGATCATTTCTGGGTGGAATTCATAAACGGAATTCCTGAAGCAGAGGGGACTACCAAAAAGACAGGAAGGATGGTCTTGTGGTTAAGACAGAAAACTCAGGACATCTGGGGTCCATTCCCAGATCTCCCACAGACTTCCTTTTGCCTTTGGCAAATTGTTCTGTCTCTCTGTGCTTCAGTTTCTGTATCTGCAATACCCAGATGGTGATCAGTTAAGAGTAGCAGCTTCTGAACCTTAAATTCATGATGGGACAGAAACCAATTTCCAAATCCTGCAGTAACAATACAGTAAAACTCCCATTTCTGTATAGGCCACAGACTATGCAGAATTAAACAGCAGCAGGCAGGGGAAGGGGGAGCAACAGAGCTGTCATTTGGGATTAAGGTGGTTGTGGCTTCTGAAGTCTCTGCCTCCCGTGATGACAGACTGTGAGTGCTGTGCATCTTAAAACAACACTACTCTTTCCCCCAGTCGCTGTTTGTCTCGTTCCAGTTCCAAAGCCCTCTAGCTGGAGAAAGGAGAGGGGAAAAATATCTCTGAGGAAGGGCCCCAACACCACAGAGTTTTTCTCACTCTCTCCCTCTTCTCCTCCCCCTCTCCACTGGCTTCAAGGCCAACAGCTCCTGGAACACAAACACTCTTGTAAACTTCTGAACCACACAGCCCTGTGGTGGGTGGGTGTTTGCTCCCTGCCTGCCAGTTCCAATCCACCCACAGATTCCAAAGGCAGAGAACAAAAAAACAGACTCCATTTTCCATATTTAACAGGCAATTTGTTTCCCTCCCTGCTTGCAGAACTCAGTGCCTCTCACAAGCACCGTGTCCCACCTCTCACACCAAGTAGGGGTTATCATGTTTATGCATGTGTTTATACAAGCAGAGGAGAAGTGCATCCTAAATGAATTCACCCCAGTCCCCCGCCAGTTTTGGATGCCTGCTTAGTCAGGAAGAACTGGGGATTAGCCAGGGCTGTGCTGCGTGATGCGGCCCTCTGACAAAACATTTGGGAAGGGTCTATTGGGAGGACTGTGGAGAACGAAAGTAAGTTGAAAATAAAAGTGTGCATGCAAATGTGACACATCAAAACTCCCACTGTAGCTTGCATTAGACAGTAAATTCTTTATAGCGGCAAACATCCAATTTCTCCAAGTTTCTATTTCACATACTTGTTTCTAATTGTGATATTCTGGTACTGAAATAAAACAATTTCTGCCCAACCAGGATACTTCTTTCCCTCCTTTCCTTTGGTTATTATCTGCTAAAGGTCATCATCCTCATTATTTCCCTTACAGTGAAACTGGGGTATGCCAAACTACCCAGAACCAGCAGAATGAGGTTTCAAACTCTGCTGAAAAAGCTATCTGAGAATCAGGTGGTCTTTTTTTCAATCAAATACTTCCATTTTTCATTAACAAACTGAATCCACTGGCAGAAAATTATTTCACAAATACTTACCAGCTTCTTATCTTTTTGGCTAAAGCAAATTCTGAGAGGTTTGCTTTTGAAGAGGCCAGGATTTCTCAGATACACACCAAACAAAGTGAATTTCAAAACATGTAAAAAGTCACAAGAAAAAAAAATACTCGTGAATTTAAGATCAACCAAACTAAAAACGTCACTGTTGGAGGTCAGCAAGAGGCCCAAGTCAACAGAAATATCCTCTTCTTTTGATTAACGGAAAAATCAACACAACCACACAACCCCTTTTCAGGCCAAATAGCTCAGTGAAGTGCCTGGGATTTCCACAGTATTTATCACCTATCAAGTCTAGGTGAGCTTTAGGATGCTGCACAGCCTTGAAAATTTACCCCTCTACAACACTTCACAGACTGGTTATGGGTTTTATTTATACACAAATAGCTCATTTATAAGGTTATTTTAGGCTTTTACTGTGCTCCAAGAAATGGCAAGATCTATTCTGGTAGCAGTAAACCCAAAATTGGTATTTATGAGTGGGGAGGTGTATAGGTAGATGTAAAACATTCTGAAATTTCTGAGTTACATGAGCTGGCACTTGATAAAGATTTCTTAAGATAACCTTGGATAACAGGGTAAGTGGGAGGTCATTCCAGTGGGGAATTCCACCCTCTAGAAAGCACAAGGGAAGCAGAGCTGGAACTGTATCAGGTTCTTCTGGCATTTCCAGGGCACCCTATGTGAATCTCACTGCAGTGTTCTGGCTGTAGGGACAATCAGTTGTCACTCTTTGGATCAGTAAGATAATGAGCTCAGGGGTTAGTGATCATTTTTCTCCTCATAAAGCCATTCAGCATTTAGAAAGTTACTAATAGGAAATAGGAATTAGTTACAATAGGAAAGTTACAATAGGAAAACAGCAGCATATGTCACTTACTGTCACTAATGTGATTCAAACAGCAGCAGACACAAGTGAGCGGAATTTCTTCACTTGCCTGATGGCACAGAAAAATATGCGCTTCACTTTGCTGTCCTGCTCTCCAGCCCTTTCCACGCCTGGCCAAAAATGATTCCTTAAAGCTATGGCTTGAAGGATGTGATTTGTACATGTATGTCTAAGGTAACAGTGCTACAAGATAGTAAAAAATATCTAGGCTCTGCCACTCACTCCTTTGAGCTGAAGTTTGAAGGTGGTTTTAAAGGATGATCCAGTCATGGAGCAAGTTTGCCATCATGCAGAATCCCTGCCTTTGGCAGCTTGAAAGCTTTGTAGGGTCCAAATCACAGGAAGACTGAGAAAGCAAGTCCAGACTGAGGACAAAAATGCAGAGCTCCCCTTTCACAGGTTATTCCCAATCCAGCCATGCTGTGGGGTTTCAATGAAAATACCCAAGTTGTATCAAACTTCTGAACAACTAAGGCTAAGGAGTTACAGTGCTGGCCTCCACCTCCTGGAAGGCAGAGCCAGCTAGACTGTGCCACGTATAATCTTCCTCACTTTGAGAGAAACTCAAGGCCAAGGAACAAACTGAAGAAAAAAACCTCAGTGACAGAATTTGGGAATCCTGAAAACATACTCCAAGGCATATGAACAGAGCAGGCATATGTAAACCAGAAGTCATCATTATTTTCTTCACCTCATTCACAATGCTCAGTTCCTGTCCAGCTCAGCCCTATAGCCTACCTCCTTCTGTATCCTTCTTTCCAAAGTACAGAACCATTTGATTAATAGACATCCCCTCT